AGATCTTGGAGTTGTTGTGGATAGTTCTCTGAAAACATCCATTCAGTGTGCAGCAGCAGTCAAAAAAGTTAACAGAATGCTGGGAATAATTAAGAAGGGGATAGGTAATACAACAGAAAATATCTTGCCTCTCTATAAATCCATGGTACACCCACATCTTTAATACTGTGTGCAGATGTAGTTGCCCCATCTCAAAAAAGATATAATTGGAAAAGGTTCAGAAAAGGGCAACAAACATGATTAGGGGTATGGAACAGCTTCCGTATGAGGAGAGATTAATAAGACTGAGGCTTTCCAGCTTGGAAAAAAGACGGCTAAGGGGAGATATGTTTGAGGTCTATAAAATCATGACTGGTTTAGAGAAAATAGATAAGAAAGTGTTGTTTACTACTTTTTATAACACAAGAACTAGGGGTCAACAAATGAAATGAATAGGCAACAGGTTTAAAACAAATAAAAGGCAGTATTTCTTCACACAACACACAGCCAACCTGTGGAACTCCTTGCCAGAGGATGTTGTGAAAGCCAAGACTATAACAGAGTTCAAAAAAAGAACTAGATAAATTCATGGAGGATAGGTCCATCAACGGCTATGAGCCAGGATGGGCAGGGATGGCGTCCCTAACCTCTGTTTGCCATCTGGTCCTGGTGACTCTGCTTTCAGTTTCAAACACAGAAGTTAACCTCAATGACTGCAGTCTCTTTCTCATTCAGCACTTCTGACACCATGGAAAGATCTTGGAGTTCATTAAACAACAAACAAATAAAAGGAAGTTCTTCTTAACGCAGCGCACAGTCAACTTGTGGAACTCCTTACCTGAGGAGGTTGTGAAGGCTAGGACTATAACAGCGTTTAAAAGAAACTGGATAAATTCATGGTGGTTAAGTCCATTAATGGCTATTAGCCAGGATGGGTAAGGAATGGTGTCCCTAACCTCTGTTTGTCAGAGGGTGCAGATCAGTGCCGTAACAAGGGCGAGGCGAGTGAGGCACTTGCCGCGGGCACACACAGCCCGGGGCGCGGGGGGGAGTGCAGAAAGCAATGGAAAGAAGAAAAAAAAAAAAAGCTGCTGGCACAGAGATATTTATAACCCAGGTGATCTCCCCCCGCCCCACCTGCCACTCCTGCCGCGCCTCCCCCGAGTGTCCCCCGGCCCCAACTTGCTCCCGGTTGCTGCAGGGTTCTAATGCCCCCCAATTCCAGTGCCAGGGCAGACTGACTCTGAGCCTGCCCTTCCACCTCAGACCCTTTCATTTTCCAATGGGACCTTCCAGCAGCACAGGGGGGCCCCCGCCCGCAGTCACCGCTCCTGTGCCATGCTGGGCAAGGAGGCAGCCCCATCCCTTACCCCCAGTGAAGCTACAGTCAGGGGCAACAGCAGGGGAGGAGGCGTATGCAGAACCCCCCGGCACCCACCACGGGGGAGGCGAGGGAGATTCCTGGACCTGAGAGGGGCCCTAGGAGCACATGCAGTGACGGTGGTGGGGGTGAGTGTGCTGCTGGGGGGGCAGGAAATGGGGGCTTCTCCCCCAGAGCTTGCTGCTGCTAGCAGGGAAAGGGCTGGTGGGGGAGTCCTCTCCAGCCCCTGTCCCGGAGCAGCCTGCCTGCACCCCAAACTCATCCCCTGCCCTGTCCCACCCCAGAGCCCACAGCCCCCGCCAGAGCTTTCACCTCCCCACCACACCCTGACCCTCTGCCCAAGCCCTGAGCCCCTCCAGCATCCCAAACTCCTTATCCCCAGTCCCAGCCAGAGCCCTCACCCCCACACCCCAACCCCCTACCCCAGCCCTGAGCCCCCTCACACTCCAAAACTCCCATTCCCAGCCCCAGACAGAGCCCTCACCACTACTCTCGCCCTGAGCCCCTCCCACACTCCAAACCCCTCATCTGCAGCCACAACCCACAGCCCTCACCCCTGCACCCCTCCCTCCGCACCCCCTCCCATCCCCTAACTCCCTCCCAGAGCCTGCACCCCAATCCTCTGTCCCAGCCTAGGGCCTGCACACCAGACCTCCTCCCTCACCCAAATTCCCTCCCAGAGCCTTGGGCGAGTGGGGGGCGGAGTTTGGGCGGGGGCAGGTTCTGGGCACCACCAAAACTTCTACAAACCTGCCACCCCTGATCCTGCCCTGCAAACCTGAACTCCCAGCATTCTCAGGACACACGCTGATCCCTAGTGGCCACTGCTGATATCCAGCACCTCCCTCCTCTCTTAACCTGCGAGTCCCTCTCGGGATTGGAACTGGACTGGAACCAAAGACCATCTTGGAAGCAACATTACCAGCCCAAGCAGTCAAAAAATCATGAGTTACACCTCCCAAAATCACAGGCTCTACTGCCGCCGCTTCATTCATTCTTTGGCAGCAGGCCCTTCCCTCCGAGAGGGACTGAGGGACCCGCCGCCAAATTGCTGCCGAAGAGCCAGCCCTGGGGGAGGGCGCAATTTTATATTCTTGCCTCAGGCGCAAAAATACCTAGTTACGGATCTGGTGGAGATGGATGGCAGGAGAAAGATCACTTGATCATTGCCTGTTAGGTTCACTCCCTCTGGGGCACCTGGTATTGGCCACTGTTGGTGGACAGGATACTGGGCTAGATGGACCTTTGGTCTGAGCCGGTATGGCCGTTCTTATATAAACCAGTGAGTATCTGTGGTGAACTGCTGCACACAGCTATATTATGTTCTCACCCACTGTTTTCAGGGCACAGCTCAGAATTCCCACAGTCCTTTATGAGGGAGACTCTCTAAATAATAATCTTGCACAAACACATCTCCACACCTGCTGTCCCTGCAGTTGGAGGGAATGGATTAAGTGACTATAGCAGTGCGATAACTCACCCCTGTGGCACCTCCTGCTGGTTGTCCAGGGAATTAGCTCACCAGCCATTGGAGCAGTCTCTGCTGGTCGCCATCACGCTTGTCGCTGGCCCCGTGTCCCTCCCAGACCCCCAGTGCTCCTTTATCCCGGGGTTGTGCCCCAGCAGTATCCCCACAGTCTCTGGGTCTCCCCTCCCCAGGGAACCCCCAACCCGCTATCACCACCTTGCCTCAGTCCATGGCTACTGCCAGTCAGCATCAAGTCCCCACTCCCTGGGGCAGACTGCAGTGTAAAAGCCAGTCATCATAGGCAAGGGAGGTTCTGGACCTGCTGCCTTACCTTTTAGGCTTTGCTATCAGGCCGCAGCCTGGGAGGTCACCAGGCCTGAGCTCCCTAGCTCAGCCTGCCCCTTTCCCAGCACTGCTCCACCCTCAGTACACTTAGCTTTCAGGCAGCAAGGACCATCTTCCTCCAGAGCTAGAAGGAGACTGGCTGACAGCCCTTTATAGGGCCAGCTGTGGCCTAATTGGGGCATGGCCCAGCTGAGGCTGCTTCCCCAATCAGCCGTCCCCAGCCACAGCCCTCTCCAGGACTGCTTTTAACCCCTTCTATTTTAGGAGCGGGGTAGCCACCCCGCTACAGTGACATCCACCCAGGTGCCCTAGCAGGTGATCCATGCCCCATGCTTCCTTATCGAAAACTTGTCCCTGTTTTCCATTGAAAAAAGTTTGAAAAATTTCACCCAGCTCTGCTAATCCTGTATTTGTACAAGGAAGTAATTGATATTTGAATTTGTTATGTTTGTGAAGACCTCTGGAAGGAAAAATACTGCAGTAGCACTACATAAATTGTTACTACATGGCCTGATTCTTCAAGGCTCACTCATGGAGACAATAAGTACTTACTTCTCCTATGTTGGTCTCTACTTTACAAGGTGTGTGACTGTCATCTGAGTAGCAGTTGAATCAGCATTTCTTGAAACAGAAATACGGTGAATTTACAAGACAATACATCGTGAGTTAGAATTTGAATTTTTTCTTTTAAATAATTTTTGTGTTAGTGAAGAGTTCTCATGGGAGATCAGTGGAGGATAAATTCCTTCAGAACATCTGCTGCAGAAATAATAATAATAATAAAAATAATAATAAAAATGAAGCACAAATTCCCCAGTCTTGTTCTACAGACCGCAATGGTGAATGCCATGTCATGTCTACTCTACACAAGCCCCATTCAGCAAAGGAGGAGATTAGTAGTAATTTGTTTGTTTTGTGTGTGTTTTGTTTCACTTTTTAGTGAGAATATTTTGCTATTAGAAACTTGGCTGGAAAAATCAGCACATTTCACATAGCCCAGAATAGAATCACTGAATGTGCTGAGTTTGTCACCCACAGCTTGGTCTGCATTTTATTCATGCAGCCACTGACAGGTGAAAGTGTCTCGGGTTAACTTAATATCACAGGAATTACCTTGTCTTCCCTCAGCCTACTTCCACAAAGAATAATTTTTTCTTAGTGTTTTGTTTTTCAGGAAAGTAGAAATTGCCATGTAAAATGAATGCAGTTTTGTATAGAGCTGGTCAAAATTCAAAATTTCCATTCTGTTGTAAATTTTGAAAGTTTTAATTTTGATTCGGAACAAAAAAGTGGAAAGTTTGAAATTTCTCACATAAAGGAAATTCTGAAAAAAATATTTATTTAAAATCAAATGGTTTTGATTCAGCTTTCCCAAAATGAAATCGCGCAGCTGGCTGCCCCAAGTCCTAGAGACTCCTTTGGCTGTATGGGGAGTCCCCCAAAGTTTGGGGAGTCCTCTGATACAGAAGTCCAGACTCCTCTGGCCAGGCGTGCTGTTTGGTTTTGATGAATAACCATTTTTGGATGCAGTCACACTGTAGAAGAATTCCTGACCAGCTCTAGTTGTGTGTTCACCTCATGTTACAGTTTGTGATGTTTACAATTTCCATTGGCAGAGAGTTGGATGAATTATATTGAAATCACTTCACAATGCACATAGGAATCAAAATATTGTCCATCTCCAGCGTTCCATTGATTTTTGTCATGAAATGGTTTTGGGGTAAGAACACCATTTTTTATTAACTACTGATTAGATAACAAATATATATATATCCATTGTTGCCTATCTAAATACTGTGTTAGGAAACCATGATGCAATATAAAGAGGGAAATCCAAACAAATTTTGATAGATCTAATGGCATTGTGGTGGGAATAACATCACTGTGTTCTGGAGCCTGTCTATCTCTTCAGCTGTTTTTACATGATCTCAGATGTATGTAAAATCTCAGTGACCCTGCTTCATTAACCGGGGGAGAGGGGAATGACGATACACGCTCCTTGTCTGAACACAAGTCATTAGTCACCCTCTTCAAGCTGCTGAAAAGTACAGAGAGCCGTGTTTCAGGATGAAAGCACAGTGACACTGCTGCTTAGATGGGACATTTACCCAACCAGTGGATATTGTTAGGAGAAGCCTAAACTAACAGAATGATTGTTACTATTCCAAAGTACCAGAAAGATTGGCAGTGGCCAGGTGCAATTGTTTTTCCTGCATTCAGGGACTACTCTCTCCTACTTCTTCCAGATGCACAAGCCACTCAAAAGGGTTAGGCAGAAAGCAGGACCATAACTAAGCTTGGAAGGATTAGATATTTATTGGTATCGGTAAATGTTGATTTCACTGTATGCACACAAACTGACGAGAAAATATTTCCATTGCTGCTCATCAAAATACTTAGAGATAAAGTAACAAAAATGGGGCTTGAGAATTTCTTAGAATTTGGTTTAAGGCTAACATTTCAACATATGCTATTGACAGTTTCTGTTTTAATGGTTATATGCTTTCACTTTTTGAATCCCAGAATCTACAGTCATTAAATAATTGTCTGTGTGTGTCTCACCCTCAAATTTCCTGAAACTCTGATTAAATTTTTAAAAAAAAATCTAAACTCCATAATTCTGCAAAACACTGAACATTTTAATAGATAAACATAGAAAAAAGCTTAAAAATAAACATTGATTATGTGTGTGTGTGTGTGTGTGTGTCTAACCCTAGCTCTGCTGTCCATCCCACCATGCACGGTCATTCTCTAGTGAGAATTGTTTGCTCCTTAGTTGCTGAGGTTTCAGTTGTTACCATGAAATGTTCTGGGGCTGCCTTCCATGGGGAGACTTTTCTGCTCTGGCTTGGAGCAGCCCAGGTGTCAGGGCAAAAGCAGAAAGGCAATTTTGCTATAAACAGGGAATACAGCACAGAGGAGTTTCATAACAATCTTGAGGTTAGCCACCTGTGCTTTCCCACATTACAGTCTAAACAGTAGTTTTAATTGTTGGCAGAGACCCACACCACAATGCCCTGTGAACGTCCAGAGCTACTAAGCTAAACAGAGTTAAACCTCGTTAGAATAACTCATTCACTAATGGAGTCAATTATTTCCATCGAAAATTTCAATTTTTGTTGTAAATTTAAGTACCAAACTTTTGAGGCTGAAACAGAAATAAACAAAAAGCATCAGCTGAAAAAGGAGGTATTTTTGCTTGCTCTTTCTCTCATCTTTTTGGACTGTCAGACTTGATTCCATTGTGATAAACTATCTTTGTTCTGCTTTGAGTAATTGCCTATGCCCATTACATTAGGTGTGTTTCTCATGTGCCAGTTCCAGAGAGTTTTTGCTAATGGTACCAGTAGAGGGGACCTCACCTGTGCCCTGGTGTCCCTCATGCTCTGAGCCAGGGGGGAAAAGGGTGGAGCCACTCCACGCATCTTTCAGTTCCTTCTTACAGTGCAGGCTCAATGGTGGGACCATGCTCTCAGCTTGTTCCATCTTTGAATGTGCTGTTATAGTTAGTAGTTGTTGTCAGTGTCATTTTATGTCCTTGACCCCCTCATCTCCCTCACCGGATGAGACTCTGTACCAGGACTGTCTTCTGGTTATTATTTAAGAGATACAAAAGCAAATACAGAAAACCAAAGGCTGAGAGTAGCAAATGAGTTATGATGAAATTGTTGTTTCCTCTTCATGTGTGAATTTAAAATTCATAATAAAGAGATACATGAGATACACTGGCTCTTTTGGGCCCAGGAGGGAGACGGCTCCAGGAGAGGACTGGAACAGGTAGAGGACTCTGTAACCCTAGTGTAATCTATTGACAGGTGCAGCTGGTTACTGTCATTTTCCTGCAAATAGAGTCCTGTGGCAATTCCATATATTTTCTTTCTTTCCTTGCCAGCTTATTAACATAACGTATTTATCTCTGAGCAGTTGGGGGCAGTTGCACCCATTAGTTGCTACACAAAATGAGTCCTTCATGTGCCCTTTTGCTGAACTATGCCACCGTTAGTATGGTAGCCATCTATTAATGACAAAGAACAGTGATATTTGTCCATTTTTTGGTTGATTTTTTTCTTTTAAAGTTTGTAAAGAGTGATGGGGTTATTCAGGCTGAGACACACTATGTAAAGGTGCAGTGACTGGGGCTTTGGCTTGCGCTCAGTCTCTCTCTTTGTGGAGCACATTCAGCGCAGTGAAAATATTCAGGGCAAATTCTGCCCTCTGTTAACCCCATTAGCCCCTTATTAGCTTCACTGAGGTTGTACAGGTGTAAATGACAGCAACACTTGAACCTTCTTCTTCGTTCAGGCAGACTGAAGTGCATCTGCTTCTGGAAAGAGGAAGATTATTTCCCATTGTTTCCACTGGCTTTTATCTTAAATCACATTCACCAAAACATCCCCCCCTTCAGGCAGTTGAAGGCTGCTATCAAATCCCCCCTCACTCTTCTCTTCTGCAGACTAAATAAGCCCAGTTCCCTCAGCCTGTCCTCATAAGTCATGTGCCCCAGCCCCCTAATCATTTTTGTTGCCCTCTGCTGGACTTTCTCCAGTTTGTCCACATCCTTTCTGTAGTGGGGGGTCCAAAACTGGACACAGTACTCCAGATGTGGCCTCACCAGTGTCGAATAGAGGGGAATAATCACTCCCCTCGATCTGCTGGCAATGCTCCTACTAATGCAGCCCAATATGCCATTGGAGTTCAGCAGTCAACGGGAGAGCGATCGGGGATCGATTTATCGCATCTACTCTACACGCGGGTAGTGTAGACGTACCCTTGGATCAGAGAATGGCTACAACCACTGTTGCCACCACCAATGTATTTTTCTCTCTCTCCCCCCCACCACACCCGCTCTCTCTCTCTCTCTCTCTCTTTCTCTCTCTCTCTCACACACACACACAGACACACACCCCACCCTCAAAACCTGAAGAGCTCATCACAGACTCCAATTGTTATAAATTTTTGGATGAATTTCAGCCATATTTACATACCTAAATAAGACTATCTGACTTCTATTTAAGAGTCTCTCTTTAGGTCCCTATTTTGAATATTTTGTCCAAAAGCTCCAAATCACTCACATTGTACGAGGGCTGGTCAAAATATTCTCCATTAAAACTATTTTAGTAGAAAATTGGGGGTCTGACTGAATTATTTTTTGTGTAGAAAGTGTCTGCCTCCATCAAATTTTTCTGATGTTTCATTGGAAACCCACAAATCCCATTTTTTTCAGAAAAAAAAAATTAAAAAACCAACCCTGCTGACTTTTGTTTAAAAAATTGGGTTTTGGTTTAATAACAAAAAAAAAAGAAAAGAAAAGAAAACTCTCCATGGAAGGGAAAAAAAAATCCAACCGTTATTAGACTGCATTACATATGCTAATGTTGCATTACTTTTATGAATTGGAATTTCTTCCTTAGGTTGTTAGTGATAACTACGCTGAGTGCATATTTCACTATATTTGATGATTGCCCTCTCATTATCTGCCCACACATTTCCCCAAGTAGAAAGTAAAATTCTCAAATATATCAATCATTTGGAATTATTTGCCAAGTGGACATTCTAACCCAGGATAACCCGCACCTGCATGGCAGATAATTGGAGACTCCCAAGAAATAACACAAATTACATAACAGGGTAAAACCCTACTCTTAGGGTCACCTGTGCACACACAGATAATACCAATGAATTTCCCCAATCACATGACCCAATATAGCAAACATAAAATGTAGTGTCCTGTTAGTCTGTGTACTTTGTAGGAGTCCTTGAAGACCTGTGACCACAATATCTTCTGTGCAGCAGCAGTTAACAGTTTGGCTAACTGGGCTCAGTGCCGCCCAAACTACTCATATGTGGGATAAGGCAGTAAGTCCCTCCACAGGTTTAATGGGCAGCAGGTAATGAAATCTCTACACCCTTACTCTCTGGTTTGAGGACACAGTTCAGGCATTAGGGGGGTCTCGCAAACAATCTCCCTGACTATCTAACTAAAGATGGTGCACTCTGTGAATGATCCTCAGGGTCAGAGATGGATCTGGCCTCCTCAGTCACTGCAGAGGGGCTGATGATTGCTGCTGGCAGGAGTGAGGCTGCTTCTGGTTCCAGGATTTCCCCTCACCACAAAGGAGGATGGGGAGGGCTCAAGGTGCAGATTACAACAACTCTACTAAAATCCTAACTGTAGTGTCCCACCCTAGGGCTCAGACACACTGACAGCAGGAGGCAGCCCTGAACCAGCACCCAGAGCAGTGGTGCCATGTGGTGACTGAGGCCTTGTCTACACTACGGGCTGAATCAGCACCCCTGCAATCTATGCAGTGGTGTTGATTCAATGGGTCTGGTGAAGACGTGATAAGTCGATAGGCGAGTGCTCTCTGGTAGACTTAATTAATCCACCTGAATGAGAAGTTAAGTTGATACAAGTTATGTGGATGTAAGTCACATAAACTATGTAACGTAACTAGCGTAACTTAGGTTGACTTAGAGCATTTGAAAAGGGCTGAGTTTCCCTAGGGAGCTGCAAGGCTAACTCAGCCGGGCTGGCTGGGGGAGTTTTCCCAACAAAACTCTACAGGCTGGGCATCACCTTGAAGACTACAATTGCTTTTCCTGTGCTCAGGGACTTCTCCCTCCTACTTCTTACTGAGGCATAAGCCAACCAAAAGGCTTGGCAGAAAGCAGGGCAATAACTAGGCTTAGATTTTTATCAGTAAATGTCGATAAAATGTCAATTTCACTATACACAAATGAACTGATGAAAAATATTTCCATCACTGCTAATTAAAATATTCAGAGATGCAAAGTAAGAAATTAGTTTGACTTAATGCTAAAATTTTTATAAATGCAGTTGACAGTTTGTGTTTTAATGCTTATAAACTTTAATTGTCTGACCTGCCCCCATTGTGTGCCCCTCCGTAATTTCCTGCAACTGTGAAAATTTAAATTGATACAAATAAAAACATTCTTAAAACCCATAAGTCTGCAAAACTCTTGAAAATTTCAGTAGATTAAAAACAGAAAAAATGATTAAAAATAAACATTGATATTATCCATCAAAATTATTTTTTTTAAAGATTGAATTCGGCCAAGTCTAGCCTCAGCTCTGCTGTCCACCTCAGCATGCTGGCCAGCCACTGAGAGGAGAACACACTGTAACACCTTTAATGATGGTACAGGCCCCTACTCTGCCTAGAACTTCAGGAGGGACTATGCATCCTGCACTGACACCTGAGAAGTTCAGTCTGCACCACCTCATGCTCAAATCTGTGCGTAGCTGAGCTATCAGTGAGGAGCTCAAACACTCTCTCCATTCTGAAGGGGGGTAATTAGGTTAGATGGGGTGCATTTCTCCCAGGAAACATAGCACTGTTGTTGTGTCTCAGAAATTGCATCTAGTTTTTCTTTTGTTCTGTCTACACCAATTTCAGGCTTTTGAAGAAAATCAGTGATCATGATTTATTTCCTTTCTTGCAGGTGATTTTACTGTCACTGTGCATGTTGCTCCTGCAGTTGTCTTGGTTGGACAAGCTGTGACATTGTCCTGCCATCTCATAGGCCAGGTCCCCGCTAACATTCAAGTGTATTGGTACAAATTGGAAAGGAACAAAAATACGACGTTATATTTTTACAATAGCACAGAAAAAGGGACTGAGCTGGGCCGGGCTGAGGACCGGCACAGGATCAAAGGACGATATGCGAATGGAGTCATTAGGGTGAAGCTCTTTCCAGTGCAAGTAGAAGATAGTGGTCAGTACGTGTGTGCGGTGACAAGCGATGGTGTCTATCAAGAAGCTATTGCCCAGGTGACTGTTCCAGGTAAGCATGGAGATGTTGATACAAAAGTGTTGCTGGCAGGGAACAATGTGGCGCTGATGCTCCATTGCCTTGCACTATGTGTAGCAGCAGGGCCGGTGCAAGGAAGTTTCGCGCCCTAGGCGAAACTTCCACCTTGCACACCCCCCCCAGCCCTGTGGCAGCTCCCCGCCCCCTACCTCCGCCCTGAGGCGCCCCCTGCAGCAGTTGCCCCCCCAAATGCCCCCCCCCACAGTAGCTCCCCCCCGGGGAGCCGTGCAGCAGCTCCTCACCCCAGCTCATCTCTGCTCCGCCTCCTCCCTGAGCACACCGCCCCCGCTCTAATTCTACTCCCCTCCCAGGCTTGCGGTGCCAA